AAGGATCCACAAAAGGACAGGCATTATATAATTTATGGAAGGATCCGTGTGTTTTGTTTCCAACTCTCTAAATGGGAATTCTGTGACTTTAACCTCGGGGGAAGGAGCATAGGCCATTAACACAAACTAGAAGGAAGAAGTAAGCTCAGTCAGTGAGTCATAGCCACTATGCAAACTTTGCCATACATCTGTGTTTTCCCATGCTGCTCTGAACTCTTGCCTCAGACTCTTGCAACAGACAGAATGCCAAATATTAGTAGATCAAATTGTATTTTTCCACCCGGGGTTTATTTTTCAACATAAAAAAGTACCCATTAGGGACTAGCGTTGGCACTTGCAGAGGAACTGAGCAATGTCCCTGGGTCTAAAACTCGCTAAAATTTCCAGGTCCCTCAAACAGGACCTCCAGCCTGCAGAAATGAGCTTCTGTCTCCCCGAGGCTGTGCTGGAAATTCCAGGGGTAGATGGGAATAAAGAAAGCAAGTGGTCACTTTTAATACATCCCACCTGCTGTCTCAGCAGGCTGAGACATGAGCCCTGCCTGCTGGAGGAGGCAGGAGGGAAGAGCCTGCTTTTTTTCTGAGGGCCCCCCCCAGCCTGTCAGCCTGGCCAAAATTCAGCTCCTCGGGCATCCAAACCAAAGGCTGCCAGTTACGCGTTACATTTATGATCAGAAAATACATGGAGTATTTTTGTCTTCAAAAATGAAGGCATGGAAAAGGCTCAAAGCCTGTTTGCTGACAGAGCAGAAGAGACTAGATGTCTAACACATTAGCCTCTGTCACTTTGGTGTATGCCCCCCCGTGTTTTTGCCCCCACAAACAGGAACTGCTGTGTAGCATGCAACGGCCATTTTTCCACCTTGCTCACCACAGTTGGCCTGTGGTCAGCCCTTTCTTTGGCTGGGACAAATTAAGGGTAAAGCTGAAGTACAGGGCGTTGATGGCTTCCTTCTCTCCTCCCATGGACATACGAGTAGCACTCAAGACAGCTCCACAGCTGGGACATATGGAACAGCCTAGCTGCCAAGTCCTACCTCCAAAGGGACATAGCACACTACCACAGTCCCTTACCCCCTCTGTGCCTACATGTGTTCCTTGCTCTCAGTACACATAGGTGACTGCAAACCACCATCCTGTCCCCATGCAGCCTGGGCTGGGCTGTGGCGGATGCATTTTCGAAGCAGAGGAAACACCAGTACTCTTGCAACCAGACGCTCTGAGCCCAAAGTACGTGAGACAAGCCATTTATCCAGTGTCTGTGAGAGAAGAGAAGAAAGCTTACCTGGTTGGTCATAGGATGCCCATGCTAGGTTTTCTCCACATTTTCCATTAGCGGACTCAGAGCTGTGTTTGAGGACCCTTGTGGTGGCCAGTTCTTCTGCGTACCTAGCAAAGGAATCCACACATTGTATCACAGACCACAGCCAGAGCAGGCACAGAAGAGGAGGAGGAGGAGAAGGAAATGCAAGCAAGGAATTTTGCTGGAAGATGATTTAAGCCAAGTTACACAGCTGCAAAGCCCTGAAGTCAGGGATGCTTTAAGCCTACATAGATCTAGGATTCAGGAAAAGGGAAGGCCTAGAGGCCGTTTTCCCTGTCTTTCATGAGCTTGTGCCACCGCTAAGAAGGGCCTAGAAGAAATCAAAGAGCAGATGTCCCCCCACCATGTTCTGCCCAGAACCTGGAAATCCACCCAATGGGGGAAAGGGAAGTACCTGCAGCAATTGCTACAGGTGTCACCTCCTGACATTTCTAGGCCCTTCACAGGAGTAACTTAAATGTTCTCGATGAGATGGAAAAAGGACTGAAGTGGGGATTCAGTCAAAGTGTATAAAACCTACATTTGCAAATGAAAAAAGCCAAATGCAAAACAAGAGCAATGTGCCAGGCAACAGTATGGAGGAGAAGGGAACCACCCGCAGAATCTGAGGCAACAACTGTGTACACCAACACAGGGATGAGCCGCACTGTTTCTACAGAAGTTGACATGTGTGAGAGCATGGGATGTATTTTATTGTCTTATGACAATAGGGTTAAGAAGAACATCATGTGTAAAACAATTACGCTCTTTATTCGACACTGGAAAGGCTTCAGTACAGAGACAGTGAAATTGGAAAGACCGTTTGTTATTTCTCACGGCACAAGGAATAGGAGGCAACACAAAATCATCAGGTTATAGATTCAGAAGTCAAAGTAAGACAAAGCACTTTTTCCACACTGTGCAGCAGAAGTCATCACCACAGGACGATGCAGGCACCAAGGCAGAAGTGGGTTTGAAAAAGAGCTAGACAAATTTACAGTGTGTGTGTGTGTGTGTGTGTGTGTGTGTGTGTGTCATCTTCAGGGTTTATTAAACAACAGCAACAAAAAATGAGGATACAACCTACTGCTTAGGAAAAACATTATTTCCAGGAGAAATCTGTAATTTCTGGGAGAAGATAATGGGGGAAAGATCACCACATCTGTTTTGTCCTGCTACTCCTTCCCTAATCATGAACTACTGGCATCTGCCAGAGACAGATGGAAATTTGTCCAGCTGAACATTTTGGCTAGTTTATGAAGCTAGTACTTCAGTCATTAGGTTCTCATTTCTTTCTGTCCTAATCCTCCCACCAGAACAACAACAACAAAAAGTATTTAGCTATCTCCATTAATTTGGAAATAATGAAGACTTGTCAGCTGTCAGCCTGCTAGATCCTGAACTAGAGGATCACTAGACGGTCCTTCATGCCCTATATCATTACAGTCCTGTAAGTTTTCTCTTCAAAGATTCCCACATCCCAAGCAAAAGGCAAGACTGGAACAAAGTACACAGTGCACATAGACAAAGTTGCCAAGGATTTGAGACAAAGGGCGATTAATTCGCTCTAGCTCAGGCAGTTGAAAGCATGAGATTTGCATCTAAGATCATCACCCTATGCTTCATTACTGTCAAAGATAAACAGATGCCTGCTGAGGGTGACTCATCTCATGCTAAAGCAGGGATCCAATAGTCAGTTCATCTAACCTATTGCAATTATTGGAACTGAAAATAGTAGGAAACAGACCATTTTCAACACAGATGGAGAAGCACAGAAAAATACCCAGAGATACACCGAATATATACCAACAAAGATATCAGATATACCTAAAGAAAAGGTGAAGTGCTTTGAATTTAAGATCCTGTCTTGACAAATATGAGATTTCTTATATTTCATGTCTTTTATTCACATCAAACCATTTCTGGTTCTTGCTATCAACCAGTTTCACCAGCCTCTGAACACGTGCCTTTTAATTCTTACAAGTTACAGACAGCAACCAACCAAACATTTCCTATTGTTATTCATCACAGTGGAGAAAGTCAGCTGAGACCAGAGAGGACTGTGAGGAATTCCAGAAGGATCTAAAAATACCCAGCAAGGGCAATAGCGCACAATAAATGTGGAGCAATGCATATTTGACGGAATAAGCTGAACTATTCATCCAAGTTGACTTGTTCAAACCAACTGTAGCACTTTGGAGACACAACAAGTGTTATTGACAAGTCAATGAAATTTCTTCCTCATTGTGAGGCATCATGTAAAACAGAAACAAAACAACCCTTTGAAGAACAGAAGGAAAACCCCAGCAGATTACAAAGGTATGTGGATGAGTCCCTGACATTCCATCCTTTAGCAATATTGTATCCAATTATCACAGTGTCTCAAGAAAAAAAAATGTGAAAAAATAAAGACAGAATCAGATTTTGCTTGCTGCCAGAGGGCATGTCCACACGCCACGTACATGGTGCGTTGTACAGCACAACACCTGGTGGAGATCTCTGGTCTAGGAGTGCAGGAGCTGGTGCATCTGTGTGACAGCGCAGCACCATGCTGGGACAGTAAACCAGGTTCTAGAAAGGCTACAGCCTCTCTGGCTCCCAGCCAGTTGGTGCGGAGAAGTCTGCACGGTTATGGTAGAAAGCCTAATGGGAGATGAGATCTCACGTCTGCAGGGATCAAACTGGCCACTATTTAGCTATTATGGAAGACATTTGTTTTCTGAATAGTTTAATCAGCATTTACTCCTTCAGCTATCTCCTTTGTACCGTGAGGATCAGCCTGAAAAAATTGAAGATTTTCAAATCTACTTTGAAAGAGGTTGCTGTAAAGGGAAAGGAAATAATCTGGTTGTTGTGTCTACAGCAGAGAGGACAAGCAGTATTGGACTCAAATTTCTGTAAGGAAGACTTAAGTCAGACAGCCGGAAGATGGATCCACTGTCCGTTAGACTGACAAGAAGTTGTGCAGCCTTCAGCACTGGAGAAGAGGTAAGATGTGTCCCTCCTGACAGACTAGAGAACAACATATACTGATTTTGCTTTTGGGGCAGGGAGATAGACAATTTGATCTGAAATTACTTCCTTCTGATTCCATTGATCTTAGACCAGTCACCACTTCCTACCATGAAAAAGTTCTTTTCTCACTATTTCAGCAGCAGTGGATATTCTCCTGCAGATGACAATCCATCTGACAGAGGTGGTGGTGAAGCGTGTTTTAGGCAACTACCCTCTGCAGAGGAGACATACCAGTATAGACAGGTGCAGCCCACATCTGGAAAAGGGTGCGAGAAAGATTTATACAGTTGTGACCACCGAAGCGTCCATGTGACCAGCTGGTGCTATGTGATGGAGAAAGAAGGGACCAAAAGGGTTGGGTAGGGAGACAGAAAGAGTAGAGTCCCTCACTTTTCACCCAGTAAATCTTCATTGAATATCAGCACGTCAAAAGGCAAATATTTTTGCAGTATGCACAGTCAAACCTAACAGATAAGTGTCACAAATCTCATTAGAGAAAAGAAAGGACTGAACTCACTGTTGGGCTCCTCTGTTTAACTTCTTGCAGAGTTTTAATGGGGGGACTCCGTGTTTCTTCCTGTAGTCATTGTGTGCTTTCAAGACTTCTTCAGCAAATTGTTTGGAAGCTGAAATCACATCAAAAAAATTGGAAAGGTCTATCAAATACAGACATTAGTGAAGACAGAAAAAGCATACCCTGCAGCTAAGACGCTGGTGCAGGTTGGACTGAAGAACAGAGGAATACCACCCTCATTACCTGGGAGTAGGATGAAATGAACCATTAATGCCTTCCATCCAGGAACTAACTCTGAGAGACACTCCCGTTGGGATGGTACAGACTCACTAAAGGTTGAAGAAAAATATGAACCTTATTTCTTTCCTCAATAGCAAGGTGATTTAAGGGTAGTTAACTGACTTTCATTTTAATATTTCAGTGCACTGCATCACCATTGCAAAGAAGTCTCAGAGTAAGCGACAAATACATCCCTTGAGGAGATGCACTAAATATGCAAATTATTGTCACTGCAAGCAATAATTTTCTGTATTAGTCAAGACATCATCTAAAGCAAATGGAGATACTAAATTGTGTAGAACTATGCAAATACTTTGAAACACACACCATTCTTTTTATTCATTATTTAGTACAAATTCATAGAAATCTAAAAATACATCTTTATGTGGCTCAAGACAGTTTTTCACAAACAACAAGTGGTGAGGAAAGAAACGACTGCTGGGGATGATTTTTTTCCCCTGTGCTAGAGTGCTTTTGGTAAGTATCCGAATTCCAAAGTTACTGCAAAGCTTTAAAAAAGCTCCTGCTTGTACCCTGATAAACTTGGGACTTTCAGCAGCACAAGGCAGAGGACAAGTGACAACTCAGTGCAATTCACCTTGATGGCGATTTCATGTTACCTCCTTTTATGACTTTGCTGATTTTTTCCCCAAGAATCAAGAGAAAAAAAAAAATCTTCCCTGGCACTGGTCACCCTGTGGAATTTGCTGCTTTAAGAGAAATTTGGAACCTGAAACACAGTATTGGGGCAGTTAGAGAGGGATGGATAGCATCTTCAACACAGAAAGACAGTTTTCACTTTCTCTATATTGCTGAAGCTTCTGAACAGGCCAAGACATCTTTGAGTATTTACTCCACTTTTACCATGACATAGGTTTCTACATTTATTAATGATTCATCAGCTTTATTTCAGAATATCTTAATTAGCGCAACTACCACCATTTTCTTTGTAAGACACTTTTGAAGCCCAAATAGACCTCATGACTAGAGAGCGTTTCCTGTTATTAAGCTTAGCTTTCTCAACTTCTTCTCACTACTCGATCCTAACAACTATAATCAATCATTCTCTCCTTTATTAGTGCATACACTGTTCTGCTGTTTGTAGTGATGCATTTTCCCAGAGTAGAGCTGTCAGTTTGCAAATACTGCTCTCCTAACTTTTTCCTAAGGTGATTACCCAACCCACGCTCATGCTTTAGGCTGTTCTCAGAGTTCTCTCCAGTTTCCCCAACAGCTTTCGGATAATACGGCAGCCTAAGATAATCTCAATATCCAATGCACGTAGAAAGCCATTACTGTTTCATGCAGTACCTTAAACCTTTTGAACACAGTCTGAAGTTGGGTTGACCTTTTCCAGACCAAAGTGTCATTGTGGACATATATCTAATATATTTTCCATCAACTTGTTTTCAGGCTCGATTTTTTTGGCATAAAATTGTTGGCATAAGACAGCAACAGGAACCCTGTTGAGTGAGATGAGGTCTGCCCACCACCTTCCTCCTATTAGGTTTTCCTTCAATTTTGTGTGTCACAAGTTGCATACCATCAAACAAGACAGGCACCTCCACTCTGGTGTTTAAGCACCCACACACCCTTTTGCTAACAAACATGTCCCATCACTCTTATTACCATTGCTCACAGCTCACTGATTCTATCAGGCCAGAGGCCTAAACCTCTCATCTGCTGCATCATGCGGGGTCATGGCCTATTTCTAAGGCATCTATCATAGGTTACTCAGGAAAACAAGCCTATGGCCAGTTCACTTAACCTCACGGATGCAGGGGTATGCTTCCAGCAGGGAAATTTTAAGACAGCCTGCAAATCAAAGAAGTTGAAATACACGGCTTTGGAAGTTGCATCACATACTCCAGGCTGCATTTTTCTGCACAAGACCATCTTAAAGCTTGTGGCTGTTATCACCTGGACTTAATATCTCATCCGCTCAGCATTAAATAGTAGATAAACAATCTGACCCGCAAGTGCGAAAGTTTCTATTCAAATTATTTGCTCTCAATGACAATAACAAATTGAAATGCTAAAAAAAAAAGTCAACTGAAACACAGACTTTGTCAATTGTCAGTCCATCCATTAATAGAAGTATTGCATAATCCAGCTCTGTACTAACATTTTGACTTACAAACACCAACGAGACATGGACAAAACTGAGTTTCTTCTAGCCACGGCAGGCACCACTACGCTGTCCCTAGAGAACCTCCATCCTCCCCTTCCCTCAGAGGTGGCTGCTATAGAAACACTTATCTACCATGACTCAAGCTCATGTGCTAACCACCTCCCTCTGCACAGCTTCTCCCATGCATGCTGATGTGTGGAGAGGGACACCCAACTGCCAAATGTATTTCAGATGTGTTTTGGAAGACATGTTAAGTTTTTCCATTTTACCAATGTTCCATACACTGAGAAGCCAGACATTAAAAGTGAGAGTTAACAGGAGTTTTCAGGCTCCCACCCAAGTGGGAACAGCTTCCCAAACAGCTTTGGAGACGTACTTTTTTCCCCTCCATGTAGGCTGCTGAAGCTGCTAGAAAAAATTATTTCCTACTGCCAGGAAGTTAGGTTTGGTCATGAATCATTACACAGCTTAATAAGTAAAACAACTGAAGGTATTAGATACAGTTGCTTGCTTCTTATTATTCAATTATTTACCTCTATTTTGGATTCTTCTGGAACATTGGCTAAGATAATGACAGCACGTGACAATGAATTTCCAGGCTACTATGTGGTACAGAGCACACCTTACAGATGTTATGTTTTTGGACTTACAGTTTCATTATCAACTTTGTGTGACCACGGAAATGTAAGCAGAGGCATCTACGTTGCCTTTTCCCCCATCAGATTTGTTTTTCTGAGTATTCTATTTCTCCATTCTCTTACTCTCTTTAAACAGTGGCAATCTATTTAGTCTTTCTCAAGTGAAGAGCTCTTCATGTCTGAATCCTTCCTGCCTCTTCTTTGAGCCCTGTCTTCTCCTGCTCTGTTCTTCCCTTAGTTTGGACATCAAAACAGAAGCAAGTTACCTGATCATGTCTTCCACAACATTAGCTGCTCTGCATCATCTTTGCAGCGTCAGCTGGACCTACTCCACTGGTCTTGCAGAGCTGCAAGATGATGTGTGGAAACAGTAACAGTAAAATATTCCACAAAAACCAAACATGAAACCTCTCCACCCAATACCTACACAACAGAAATGCTGTGGGCAGCCCTCGTATCACCACTCGGGATGCACAACATTATACCAGGCATACACTTGACTAGCAAAAAAAGCATACTTTTTTTCTGACTGAGTATCCACCCCAGTGACTCAAGAAAGAGCATAGTATCAATTTCTAGAAGTATTGTTGTCTTCTCAGTGTTCTCTGTCCTACTGTTTACGGATTAATCTTCACTGGCAATTTTGTACTTTTCCATACATACTAAGTTTTTCTGTTTAGCCTTCAGATAATTAACGTATAATGCAGTCAACAAGAAATGGACCTGATGTAGAATCCTACACAGAAGTGCATTACAGGTAAGTGGAGATAATGACCTCACCTTTCAATTCTGCCCCAAAATAAATAATTAGAAATGTGCTCATATAATGGCTAGAGCAACGTATCTGAAGAAAACTACAAAATACACTTCAAAGGACCCACCCTTTTGGAAAGAGGTAAACGCAAAAGCCTGATACCAACAACCTTGGCAACGTGACTCTCATTACCCAGGATACTGCATATTAC